ATATTCATCTGCTAGCTTATGTCTTTGAGTATGACTACACAAACTTGTAAAATGCACGATACCGGTCGTGCGAAGCTTAAGATAATGACAAGAAATAAGTTGAACCGAACGCTATATTTATTAATCTTCGGACGTGCTGGGGCGTCCCAACCTAGTTTCTCTGAAGACGCAAGAAAATTATACAACACAAAACTAGTCAAACCGAACAGTTGAATCTAACATGGTCATTGCTTATAGAAAATCGAAGAAAAGATTTCCTTAAAAATGCGTACCGGAGTTTGAGAGATTGTTTCAGCACTACGCATTTGCAGTCCACTGCCAGCAGAAGGATTCCCAAAAAACAGAGGACTAGGCTTGGGAAGCACACTCGAGATAACATTTTCCACTCTCTTCTTTCGAACATCATCAAGAGCAGAGCTTGACATGGTTGTGCGATTGAGCAATTCTGAGTTTGCATTCAGCACTGAACCGTTGCACGCACTACGATCTATAGGGAGATCTCCGGTCTCCTAAATGATAGGGAGTGACGTTCACTGTGAAAAATGTATTTTTTGGAACAAACCCGAGAAGTCCACTGTCTAACGTTAACCTCCGGATGATCACGGCTCTCCACAATAACAGACTGTGGCCTAGTCAACTTGTTACTGTTGATCGTAGTGGCTGGCTGCTGCTTAGTGCTGAACTCAGGCCTCGTTCGAACCAAAGTATTCTCAGAAAAGGAGACGTTCTTAGAAGACGATGGATTTAAAGACACTGGTACACTAGCCGATTCTGATCTCCGAGCAGCACCGCCATCAGAAAGTGAAAAAGGAAGCGAAGGTAACGAGGAGTTAGATTGAGAAGCCTAAAAGTACATCTTTAAACAAATCTGGCAGGTTAAAAAAAGTCCACTCACAACAAGCAAAGCCTTCTTTTCCAGTATGTTATTGTATCGTTCCCTCAACACAGCATTGTTCAATATTTTGGATACCTAAAAAAGCGAGATGACGCAAACAAAACAAAAAATAAATCATGATGTGCTAGGAAAGAAATCAATCTCAACGTTCATACCTCAAAGGGGTCAGTTACTATTTCTGCATTTGAGCCAGAAGCATTTGCCGGGCCTTTGGGCAATGGTAGTCTAACTACGCCTAAAAAATTTCAGATGTCAGCAGCCACTCTAAAATATCATTTATGCGTAAAGCTTGGGAGGAAGAATAAGCTTAGTTTGAACAGATAAGTAGAGCAGCTCAAAATAATGAAAGATAGTGCAAGACTTGCTACACATGAGTTTTGTCTAAACGGCTGCAGAGGAAAAAATCCTATTTCCAAGCAAAAATTTCGACTGCGAC